GGCTTGTCTTAGCTGTTCATAAGAAGTCTCTAGCCAGGGTCGCTGGCTCACATCTGTAATCCCAGCACCTTGGGAGGGCGAGGTGGGCGGATCACCTGAGGTCAGGAGTTCGAAAGCAGCCTGGCCAACATGGCGAAATTGCATCTCTACTAAAAATACAAAAAATAGCTGGCATGCTGTTTGGTGCCTGTACTCCCAGCTACTTGGGAGGTTGAGGCACGAGAATCACTTGAACCCCAGGAGTCAGAGGTTGTAGGGAGCTGAGATCGTGCCACTGCACTCCAGCCTGGGAGACACAGTGAGACTCCCTCTCAACCAAAACATAAAAAACCAAAACCAAACAACCAATCAAACAAAAAATTTAATGAAACAAAAAACAGTCTCTTGAGCTACACAGAAACATTGGCCCCTCATGGGGTAAAAAGCTCAGAGCCCAGCCTTCCTTTATAGAAACTTCTAAGGAAGAAAAGGGTGGAAGTGTTTGTGTCCTGGTTTCAAGGTGACTGCGTAGCTCAGACACGTTGACTTAAAGGAGATCAAGAGTGGAGATGAGAAGAGTGAAACCAGGGAAACAGCATCTTCAAATCAGTGGACAAGGCTGTCAGTGACATCCCTCAATCCTGATTCAACCTATTTGATTTCACCTGTTATTAACCCATCATGTGTTTGGGTTTTTTTCTCCCCAGTCCCTGGCTCCACCTCTTCTGCCGCAAACATCAGCATGGTGGTATCTGCGGGCCCTTGGTCCAGTGAGAAGTCAGAGATGAACACTCTCGAAATCAACGAGAAATTGCGCCACCAGCAGGCAGAGAACAAACATCAGTTCCTAAACACCAAGGAGAAATTGGTTGTAACTCAAGTGGCCTACTTTCTGGCCAAGGGGCAGAACACTTACAGTAAGTTCCATAGGCTCACCATCACAAAAGTGATGAATGATGTCCTGTCTTCTCTGTGAGAAACGGAATTCTCTCTCCATCAGAAGTAATTTAGTCCTTCCTGTAGTTCTAGGAAAATAGAAATGGGTGTTTTCACATTTTGTTAAAGTTGGAAGAGAGAGGTACCAAAGTATTTCGAAACATCCATGTTTGCAGTCAGGTGGGGATGGGCCTAGAGTTAAAATCTCAGTGATGGTTTCAGACACAGGCACAGACTGACCTGTTTTCTCCAAGAGGCTAAATCATGTTTTCAAGAATCCTCTCTCTACCATATAAGATCTGGCAGAAAAATAACATCTCGTCTGTTCTAAATGTCTGGGACTAGTGAATTTTTATTCAGTTCAAGCTTCTGTTGAGGCCCAATAGGCAAAGCTCTGTTCTAGGGACCCTGAGGGAAATTTGTTGATAGTACACGGTACCCGCTGTGAGGGGCGTCAAGAGGAGTCTGCTCCTAAAAGAACCTGTGGTATCTACAACCGACAGCATGAAGAGCAGGGAGAAGGGGCCGTGAAAGGTGGCTCAGTCCTGTAATCCCAGCACTTTGGGAGGTTGAGGCAGGTGGATCATGAGGTCAGGAGTTTGAGATCAGCCTGGGCAACATGGAGAAACCCCGTCTCTACTAAAATTACAAAAATTAGCTGGGAGTGGTGGCGGGTGCCTGTAATCCCAGCTACTCGGGAGGCTGAGTCCAGAGAATCCTTTGAACCCAGGAGGCAGAGGTTGCAGTGAGCCAAGATCATGCCATTGCACTTCAGCCTGGGCGACAGGGCAAGACTCATCAAAAAAAAAAACAAAAAAGGCAGAGAGTAGCCTGGTGGGAGGGAAGTCCTGTTTCTTGGGGCACAGGCTTTTCTTCCTAAAGAGGAAGAAAGATGCACCCAAGAATGTGTGGAAGTAGCAGTGCAGTGTGCAGAGCAGGAACCCTGGGCCTGTCTCCTGGGCTCCATCCAAGTTGCTTGTCCTGTCTGTCCCTCAGTTTCCTCATCTGTTCATAGGGTGCTGCAGTAATACCTACCTCTGTAAATTGCTGCAGTGAGTTACATGAGCTATTTGTTGTCAATCTCCTAGAACATTTATGGGCACAGAGTAAACACTATCTATTAGTTCTTCATTCTACTGTTTCTAAATTAACACAGACTTTGTTAGTATTAGGGCATATTTCCTTCATAGTCTTGTGGTCTTATGTCTCATACTTTATGTTTCCGTTATGATTGTTAAAATCATATCTGCAGTTACCATTTAAAACTCAAAGATTTTTAAGATCTTTGATATATTTGTCCTTGAAATTCCCATTAAAAGGGAAACCATCAGTCCCATAGTCCTAGGGGCCTTCCCAATTGTCCGAGAAATCTCTACTTCATGCCCCAGTGCAGTGTTTTGGAGGAGAGGCTGCAAGGCTTGGGAAAGTGGCCCCGCATTCAGAGTCAGACCTCAGGGGCTGTGAATTCTGACTCCACTTCATTGTGGTTGAATCATCTTGTCAACTTCCTTGATGTGCCCTTGAGTTTCGGTTTGTTTGTCTCTAAATTTTGGAGGATGAGATGCCAGAAAGTCGGGAGACTGAAGAGTAAAGAGGTGGAAATCCCTGCCTGGAGCCTGGTATTGGGGACAGTTATGTCCTTGGGATGGACCTGGCTCCTGCCCTGTAGGCAGTGACCTCAGCAGCATGTCCAGTCTTTCACTGAGGCCAGTGTGTCTGTCTTTTCTCAGACTATGAAGAGTGCAAAGACCTCCTAAAATCTATGCTGAGGGATGAGCTTCAGTTGAAGGAGGAGAAGCTTGCAGAGCAGCTCGGGCAAGCTGAAGAGCTCAGGTGAGGGGGCCCTATGCAGGCAGGTGGGCAGGTGTGTAAATCTCGGACGTATAGCAGCTCGGAGGGTAGAAGTAAGAGCCAAGCTGGGCCAGGGGAAGGGCAGGAATTGCTATGGCATGCTCACAATACACACAGGTTTGTGAAACAGAGACAAGGACAGTAGTAAGTTATGGGTCGCAGTTGTTTCTCAGAGCCCCGTTTTCTCTTTTTGAAAGAAGTAATTGTTGAGGTGAAATTTGCATAAGACATGATGAACCAAAGGAGTGGGAACCACCCAGCAGCATTCAGTGTACTCAAAATGGTGTGCCATCACCACCCCACTTACCCATAGTCAGAATCACCTCCTGACTGACTGCGGCATCTTATCTTTGACCCAATCAATGTTGCCTTCTGGAGCCTGTCATTCTTTTCTTGTTTAATCTTTTCAATTGGCCCCGCCTGCACTTGGCCGCATTTCTGTATATGGTTTTGTATGTAGTCACTGCAAGATAGACTATGTGTATTTTCACATGGAAATGTCCATTGCCAGAGTGAGGAGCTGAAAGGATGTCTTTTTGAAACTGAATAAGGAAGACACCTACTTTTGTTTAGAGAAGGGAAAGATGAATGGAACATTGTCGAGGACCTTACAGGAGCCCTCTCTGACATAGAGGAAGCCTGTAAACCATTTTTCCTTCTTTCTCTTGACCACAGACATTTCTTTAAACGTGTGCTGACCTTCTTCTTGGAGGTCTCCTTGAGGACATTGTCTTAAAAATCTCTGTAGCAGTATTCAAACTGATCACTCACCCCTTTCCACTGTTCAATTTTCTCTACTATCTCACCTTAGGCAATATAAAGTCCTGGTTCAGTCTCAGGAACGAGAGCTGAGCCAGTTAAGGGAGAAGTTGCGGGAAGGGAGAGATGCCTCCCGGGCACTGAAACAGCATCTCCAGGCCCTCCTCACTATGGATGAGCCGGCCAACTCCCAGAGGCGAGACCTCCGAGAACAGCTGGCCGAGGGCTGTAGGCTGGCACAGCACCTCATCCGAAAGCTCACCCCAGGTAAGGTTTCCATAGGACCTGGAGACCTAAAACGCCAGGCTTATGAGAGACTCCCGACCTCCATACTTTCACAATGACAGTTGTATTGGTGATGTTTTTTCCCACTAAACATATGTGGCCCTTCCAGGACTTCGTGTGTGATATCAGAGATGGGAAACCCATGGGTTTGGAGGTCACAGTATTGCAAATGTCCCTCCTTCCTTGGTGGAGATGGTCTTTGGAGCAAGAGGCAGCATCTCTCTAGTTGTAAAGGAGAGGAAGGAGGCTGTGACAGGAGGGTTCTTGTTAGAGTGAAAAGAGCTGTAGCCTTAGAATGAAGGTTCTCAGACTGTCTCCCTGGCAATGTTCTTAGTAAGTGTCGGTGAGTGAGTAATTTATCCTTCTTGAGTTTCTCTGTGTCCATCGGAAAAGGCAGGCAAATTGTCTCTTGCAAGGGTCTGAAGCATCTAAATGTGGGAACACTTATGACTGCTTTTGAAAATGAGATAAGGCCCCTCACCAAGTGGTGTTGGAGAAGGCACTTGACGTGGGGGTATTTGGTTGTAGGAAGTGCTTCAGACTGGTGCACTCCCCATGGAGAGCATGTCCCTGAATAACACAGCAGAAGCCACATGGAGGGCCTGTGAAGTCTCCTGAGGCATAGAGGACTGTCGGGCAAGTTTGTCCGCTCCAAAGGGAAAGAATTAGTTTCCAAATGCGAACTGTGACACAACACCAAGTCTGTGCCTGGGAATCAGATCTGTGGCGGGATGCGGGAGACAGCTGCCAAAGTCCAGAGAGAGGCTGCAC